GCCGCCTCCTGGCCGCTCCTTTTGCGCCGCTTCTCCCGGGAAGACTTCTTCCCCGTCATGATGCTTGAGCTGGAACCATCGGAAAGCCCGCTGTCTATGAAGCCAGCACCTAAACCTCACCCCGGCCACCGGGGCGGGCGCCGGCGTCGCGATTTTGCGTCATTTCCGGCCTCGTCGCAGACGCTGTGAGGCGTTTCCGGAGGCCGTGCCGGAACTCACGCGCCGCCTTTCCTCGTTGTGCGTGTGTTTGCCGTGTTGTTGAAGTTTGTTGTTTTTTCCTGCACAAAAGCCGGATGATAGAGCTTTCCATCTGCCTTATTGAGACTAGTTTTTAGCCTTTGTCAGTATACAAACGCACTGCTAAACCTGTAGTTTTTGATTCTCCAATTTCATTGCTCTTCAATTTTTATTTATGGCACAAATAGCATTGTAACAAAGAGAATTTAGGGGAAAACCTCATTATCATCAGCACCTGGACAGTTTTTTGAAAAGGTTTCCTAGGGAATTATACAGGAATAGGGTCATGTGCTTCGTTGTCCTTCCCGTTAACACTAATTCCTAGGTATGATTCCTTTTCGCTTCTGAAGGCACTTGGCACTAGTGTTTCATTGTATTTTCTCAATTTAAGTAATATTCAAAGGCTGGTGTTTATTTTGACATTTTGTCACGCTTCAGAATAATGAAGCTATAAGCAGCTAAAGAAAAAATTGCATTTCCCTATGGCATTTTGTACCCCCAAAATAAATTGATCAAAGGATATCAACATCCTTTTCTTCTTCTGATTAATCCATTCCCTGGAATATGGGACCAGCTGAAAAGGTCACCCACACACTGAAACCTTTCTTTCTTTCTTTTTTAAAGATATACTTTATTGATTTTTTATAGGGAGGAAGGGAGAGGGATAGAGAGTTAGAAACATTGATCAGCTGCCTCCTGTAAACAAGGTAAATGCCCTTGACCAGAATCGAACCCGGGACCCTTCCTTCAGTCTGCAGGCCGAAGCTCTATCCACTGAGCCAAACCAGTTAGGCCTCTTTCTAAAAATTGGTGCTAATGTATGAAAATATTAACTTTTAACTTGCATTTTTGACTTGCAATGTTGAATACTTTCCAACTGGTTGGAACACTATTTTCTCATCAAATCACCGGGTAATAAGTTTAACAATTTACTGTAATCAGTGTGTTGGTTATACATGTACACTAACTCTGTTGGTTAGATGGGAGGAGCAAGAATAAAATATTGTTGGCAGATCGCTGTGCCTGTCATTTCGCCTTTTGAATGTTCTTTGTACACAGCACTTTTATTGTTAATGAAGATGGTAGCCTTGTGCTATTTCTGAAAGGAATGCTTGATAAGCACTTATGTGGCATACATTTTGCTAGGCTTTTATATAAATATCTTATTTTGTTCTTCTATATTTTGAAATTCCAGTATATATATAATTAAACTGGGGCTGAGGTTATGCAACTTCTCCTAAATTAGCAAGTGGTGAAAATGTCATTGAAATGTATGACTTTTAACACCAAAGCGAATCCTCTTTCACTCTATTACATTGCACCTCTGGTTGTTCTTACTATTAAAATTTTTTAAATAATGTAGAAATAAGCAAACATTTCTTCCTTTGAAGACACAAGAATGAAAAAATGTGGTTTGGAAGCTTGTTTAAAGCCACCTTCTAGTCTATGTATCAAGCTTACATGCCTCTACCAGTACCATAGTTGAAATGGCTACAACAAAGTGTTGTTTTCCTCCATATTAATATCCATTGTTAACAACATCATTTATCAAATATCATTCTCTTCATTGTTTAGTTACTACTAACTGGTTATATATTTACCGGACCTATTTCAGTTTCTTCACCTGTAAATGTAAGATTACTAACAGTGCTTATCGCATAGGGATGAAGATAAACTTAGAATTAGTATAAAGTAATTGCTTAATGTATGAAATTTAGTTTACCTAAATTGTCTGATCTTTATGATGATACTTAACTGGTTTTCTTTAAATCCAGTTGCAAAATACCGTATAAACATTGCTGTATCGTGAGACTTTAAGTTTGATTAAAAATTATCATTGCCACTGGACATTTTACTTTTCTGATTTATTACAGTGAGTCCAGGAACCCCACGGTTATTTTTCAGTCACAGGACCTCACCTTTGGCCTAGGACCGAAATCAACCTACTTATTCTGTACAAGGGTGTTAGCTTTCTTCTTTTTTAAAGTTATCATTGTTCACTGTATTCTGAAGACTATTTTCCTCCACAAGAGGCACCAAAGTGGTTTACTTGCCCTCAAAGTCAAGATCCTGCCTTTCTTAGTACATCCAGAAAAAAAGCACCCTAATTTTAAACATTAAACAAAACCTGGAAAAAAAATTGGAAGAAAACAATGTCAAATAATAGGAAATGGGTATACCCATATATTTATTAAGGTGGAAGTAAGCATACTAATGTATGTTAAGTTTAAAAATCAGGTTATTTAACAATGTATATCATTTCTTTAAAAAAATAAAACATGTTTACATACCTTTATATGGTATTAAGAATGGTTCTCTCTGGGTAGTATGATTACCGGAAATTTTTATTTGTGTGTCTCATTACATGAATATGTATTTTTATATCCAGAAAAAATATTAAGGAAATCATAAGAAAATGTTTAACTGAAAAAGAAAAAATATTTAAAATACTACTAAACCATAACTTCAACACTTATCTTTCAAGTGGATTTTTTTTTCCTTTTGCTAAACTGTACTTTATGACTTTTCAAAAAACATGAAATACTGATACAGCCTGGCAGGTGTGGCTCAGTGGTTGAGCATTGACCTATGAACCAGAAGCTCACAGGATTCCTGGTAAAGGCACATGCCCAGGTTGCAGGCTCGATCCCCAGTAGGGGGCATAAAGGAGGCAGCTTATCAATGATTCTCTCTCATCATTGTTATTTCTATCTCTCCCTTTCCCTTCCTGTCTGAAACCAATAAAAATATATTTTAAAAAAATACTGGTATATTAAAAGTTGTTAAAAAAAGTTATACACTAATAGGAAGCAAAGTGTTTACAATAAGTTGCCCCTTACATGTTGAAAAGTAAACATATATTCTTAACCAAGACTGTTATGTCCAAAGGTACCTAGTATTTAAACATATTGTAGGTAAAATGTTTGTAACATGCTAACAAGAAAGCAGTGTAATGTAATGGACCTTGGCTAAACCCTTAACTTTGCAACTGAACTTTACTCTTTGATTTAAACCTCTGAATTTCAAATCAAAGATAGTAAAGCACAGGTTCATAATGGAACCAAGTAGAATCAAGTCTGGGTATACACCAGAAAGCTGCAATTTAATACTTAGCAAAATACATTATCTACTCTATTTATATTTACCCATTCATTTTTGACATTCCAGGTTTTCCCTTGGATTAATCTAGACCAGGGGTGGGGAACCTCTTCTCTAGCCAAGGGCCATTTGGATATTTGTAACATCATTTGCAGGACATTCCAAATTATCAACTTAAAAATTAGTCTGCTATATTTGGCCAAACATTTAATTAACTCATCCCTAATGACCTTGGCAGGGCCAGACCAAATGATTCTGTGGGCCTTATAGAGGCCACAGGCTGGACCTTCCCCACTCCTGATCTAGATAATCAGAATCTTCTTCTCCCCTATTGGGGAATTGATCTTCTTTGGCATTAAGCCAGGAAACTCATGGTTTTATATAACATAAATATGGAGAATACAGTGCACTATTTTATGCAGTCCTCTTTATAAAAAGATCTCTCCTCCTTTTTAAAATAGGAAGTTGCACTTATCTTCATTGAAGTTTTCTTAGACACTGTGGGAACCCTGTCCAGAGTATGCTGGATGTTCAAGGCCACTCTGAACGTGGGAATCCTAATCAGGTGTTCAAGGCTAATTTGCTATATGCAGGTGCAAAAGCAAAGATGCAGACACTGTGCACATGTGGCCTTCTGTAACACAGATTGATGCCACTATTTGGCTAGAAGCCTCTTTGTCTAAGTTAGTATAAAGTGTGTTACTGATCAGCTGGTATGAGCCTTTTATGTAGGGCTGCAGTATGTATAGCGGCCGCTTAGTATGGCTCCTGTGTTTGCTACTGTATTAGCAAAGACTGCTTGGTCCGACTGCTTTTTCTAATGGCTACTTAGTAGAAATGGCTACTTGGACTGCAATAAAGCTTCTCTTATATACCTAAGACTTAACATGTTTTCTAATGCCCAGCATCCAAGGAGGTCCAGTCTCTGGCAGAGGGGCTCAGACTCAACAGACATAATAAATTGCATAAAAACAGGGCTCATTCTTTGTGTTAGTTGCTAGGATGTTCACAAATTTGTGACACCCCCGCCCCCTCACTCCTAGGAAGTAGAACATGGTATGCACTTTTCTTCTTTTCTCCTATCATGATTCATCCTATTATCGACACTTCTGAAAATACAGAGATAACATCAGGATTCATTTGAGGGGTTTTAGGAATTAAACATCGAAGTGGTTAGCACAGAACATGGACAATGTTGGGAGCTCAAAAATACCTGCCAATAGCATAGTTTGATGTATTCTTGCTTGTACAGTTGCCTAAAATTTAATGCATTCCAAATTCCCTTTGAAATAATGGAAATGACCAAAAATAATCAAATTTCAAAACTGGAACGAATAATGAAGTTACCTCAAATAGTGAATGGCAAAAGAAACTACACCATAAACCTTGAGTTAACTTGAGTTAGCTTGGTAATTTGCTCTTACTTGATCTAAATATGAGCCATCAAACAAATTCACTTTCTATTTATAAATGGCTTAAATGAATACATTATTTTACATATTTTCAATATATGGAATCATTGACAACAAACTTCAGTTTTTAAAATTTCTAGAGTAGTTATCCTAAAACAAGACCTTGTATCAGTGCTGTTGAAAGAACCCAGCAATGAAAATGAGTAGAGCAGAAACTCAATAAAAGACAACCATCAACAATTACCAACCAAGGATATATAAGTAATAAAAACAGATTTAAATAAAAGCTCATCTTCTCCTGTGTGGCTAAAATACACAAATTATGCCACTGTAGTTGTTATTGATTATAACTCATTCTTAATTTGTTTCAAAACTCCTGAAAACCTACCCACATTATACAGGAAAATCTCACAGTTCATCAGTGCAAAAACTTTATTTCTCCTTCATTCCCCCCACCCCCTTATTACAAGATCTGAAATTTTATTTAATCCACAGCATTTTTTAAATGATCTGTTATCAGTCATGTAAAATGTGAGGAAAAAAACCCACATTGATCATTTTAATCAATTTAAAATCTCAGTCCCCTTCCCCATTGTTACAGCAAATTTAGGATAAGTTTACAGCATTCACTTACTTTAGCTGGTTCTGATACTGAGGCATATTTTTTTATTTGAGAATCAACGCCTAAAGACTTTGCTAACTGTATAGCATTTGAATCATCACTGATCAGTGTCCCAAGAGCTACAAGAAGTCTAAAAATGGCTTCTAGGTCTTGTACAACTTCGAAGATTGTGCTAATTACTGACAAGCATTGAGCTTTTCCTTCAATGTTATGGTCTTTATGAAAACAAACAGAATAGTTCAGGGTCAAGGTAGCCAAAGCAATGTGAATGTTCTTATTGCTCCCTGATTTCAGTTCTACTGCATGGGATATCAGCGCTTCCCTCTGGGACATCATGAGCTTTTGTCCTGCCTGGCCAACAAAACAATTGCAAAAAGTCCTCAGAGCAAGCAGCTGGTTCGCTGGTTTTCCTTTAGGGTTCAGAAGACTGGTCAGATGACTGCTGAATTGAGCCCCTTCCTTTTCATTACAGAAGTTCTCATTCACACTGGGATGTTTAACTGACAACCGAAGAATGTCAAGCGCAGGAAAGACGATATCTATTAAGAAGAAAAATTAATGAATATTTATGAAAATCCAGAAAATTTCTGTTACTCAATTTTTAAGGATTTTATTTCCTGTTACAAAATTAACAAATGCTCATTTCAGAAAATGTTAAAAATCATGTGCCTGCTTTCAAATGCATATATTTCTACAACTATGTTAATTGATTTTTCATACTTATAAAGACTGGACGTACTGCTACAAGATCATATATGCTTTGATAACCCAACAGAGTTGCATTCTTTTTAAACAGCTGACACACAGTGAGTTTTCAAATCCTTGTGGAATGAATGGGATTGGGACCTTGCTTTTAAAAATCCCATAACAAGTCTAGAGTTGAAGAGAGAATGTTCTTTATAGAATTCTAATGGACAAATGCTAATATAGGGTGCTTTTAGGTTGGTGGAGAGCTTTATATTCAAGGGACTGGGTAGACACCATCTGAACAAATGCACTAAAAAATCTTAAGCATCACTAAACTTTAGGAAACCAGAAATTATGTGCCTTGTGATAGAAAGGTAGTTTGCATTATCATTTAGAAAGGGTATTCACCTTTAAAAAACTATTGAATCAGAATCTAATTACGTCTAGCAGGACTATAGAGATAGAGCAACTCATTAAATGATCAGCCAAATCCACAATACGGGACATTTTGTAGGACAAACACTTTTTTTCCTCCAATAAATCAATAGCACACACACACACACACATACACACAAAAGAGTAGGGGAGAGGACGTTTTTAGAACTAAAAGTTAAATGTCTGGTAACAAATGGAAACTAGATTTTTGGTGGTGAGCACTGTATAGTGTATGCAGATATCAAATTGTAATGTTGTACACCTGAACCTTATATACTGTTATAACAACAAATGTTACCTCAATAAAAATAAAATTTTAGAAATAAAAATTAAGTAAATTTACTCAAAAAGAAAAAACCCTTATATCAAATGTTTGCAGCCTAGAGTTGACAGGTCACAAATAGTTTCTTGCATGGCTTGCAGGGGATCCACAAATGCTCTGAAATGGAATACAAATGTATGGGGTCATTACATTACCTTCAGATCCTCATAGCACATGCAAGCAAAACAAGACAATGAATTGAAGTGGCGTAGTGAATCCTTTTTGTGAAGATTTTTATAACGAAACACCAATAATATTGATAGAAATGAAAAGACACACTTGCTGCTTTCTAGCTACATTTTAAAGAGTGTTTCTGTACCTTCAGGCCAGTTAATAGCTTTCCACAAAATCTGAAGTTGTTGGGCTGTGGGTTTTTCGAAAGAACTATTACATGTTATAGACAGTATCTTCTCAAGAAGTATCAGGTCATTCTCAGTTAACTTCTTCTCTTCTGGTGCAGTTCCATTAAGTTCCTTCAGTTTACCTAAAACCCAAAACCAAACCTTCAAAATTCTCTCTCTAACCAGCCATATAAAATACGTAAGTGTCAAGTTTTTCAATAAGTACATTACCATACACGATGGGGAAGTAAGACTTTTCATGGCAATTATCTAAGACCATAAAATAAGGATAAGGCTTGTGAGTCTTTTTAAGCTGAAAGGTTACTGTGATCTTTATTTTACCTATTATTTTCTAAGATCTTCTGAAGCTTTCTGCTTTGAATAAGTTTGAAAGTATATCATATTTGTAATCATTCTGAATGGATTTCAAAGCAGTATCATGTCATATATAGCCACATATGAGTCAATCCTCTATTTTCTAAATGAGAAAGTTTACAACTTTTAGCCAACTTATGTCAATTTCTACTAATCAATGAAATAGTCAAAAACTTTAATGTATTTATAATAATTTATTGACTCGTTCCATCTTCACTGTTGAAATCACATTATTTTAAACACAATTAATGGAAATAATTTTTCCCCCCATATTCATTATTTCATGAAACAATTTGTTTTAACCGCTTTACCTGCATCTTCAATACCGTATCCTTGTCGTCACCAGTGCCTCTTTGAGTCATCTAACACTGTTTCCTCAAAAAAATCTTTATCTCAAAACATAAAAAAGCCTACATTCCCATCCCAAAAGTTTTAAGAATATAAATTGTCCAAATTTACAAATTATCAATCAGAACTGGAAACTTGGACCTGTTTCACTATTTTTGGCACTGCAAAATTTAACACTATCAGAATATAGAAAACAAAGTTTATTTAATAAATGCAAAAAGAGATCTCTTGCATGTGTTGTATATGAGTTGAAAAATGTCCAGTTTTCCATAAATGTACATATACTTATTGTTCTAAATAAAGCAATTAAGAAAATACTTATGATTTTATAAAGATAGTGTAATTTTAGAAAGATAGGATAATTCTGACCAAAAATAAAACCCGTCTTATATTCAAGTATGTATGTTACCTCAAATAATTCTCTATTAGTCTTTGGCAAATAGAACTGGTAGTGTTTTTTTTCAGGCATCAAAAAAACCCATCATTCTGTTTTGAGAAAAATTAGCAGAAAAAGCAATCAAAGTCAACTGAGAAGTTTCACTTTTAATGTAAGTTTAAACAGCCTTATTCCAAAGGGCTATTAATTTTTTTTAAAGCCAAGATTTTTATCTTTTCAGTTCTTTACTCATTCTTTTTTTTAACATTAAGAACTTAGGGGATGGGATTCACTCTTTTCCCCTTTAGTTTTCTTCTCATTAAAGTCATCATAAAACATTTACCTTATTTTTGCATAAGGCGTCTTACAAAATATTAGGGGTCCATGATCAGATTGTGCACTTGTAGTCCACATGTGTGTAATACCACAACAGAAGTCTCTATCATGGAAGCACCAGTTCCCAGCTCATGTTAGGAGGAGAAATGGCGTTGAGAGCATGGAAAAGAGTCTGTGGATATATGAGAAAACTATTCAATTAAAATATACTTACCCAATATTTGTGTAGGGTTTGCTTGGTCAAAAGTGACAGCCTCTTTTTTAGGGAAATAAATATTCACCGTTTTAGATGCAGCTGATTGGTAGGCACTACTCCCTATTACAGAACAGAAAATGTTGAAAATCATAAGGAGTGGTCAAAAATGACACTTTTGTAATTGTATGACTTTGTTATCACAATTTAGATATGTAACTACTCAGTGCATGTAGTAACAAGCAACCTCAGAAAAAAAGAAAAACCATTTCTAAGATTTTATAGACTGTTTATATGTGATATAATACATTTTGGTTTCGGAATGGGAACTTAAATATAAAAAAAGGTTTTCTATTTCATATTTTCTAATCATATTTTTTAATAAACTTTTAAGATCAAAGAATACAAAATAATTACGAAATTCTCCATTCCCATCTACTCTAAGGTATATTGATCTCTTTCTTCTCATGTCTTTTATTGCTTATTCCAAATGATGTAGTAGGCATTGTCATTTTCTACATCATTTTAACAGATCACCCCAAGTTTTCAGTTCTTGAAAGTCAAAGGTTTTAGTCCTTTATATGATTTTACTTCTTAAGTTTGTACGTATTATAGTAACTGATGGTAAACAAAAAAATGACAAAAGGTGAAAATTCATACACAGTGAATAAAATTACTTCAGCTAAAGCATAATTTATTTCTAAGACATCTTATTAACATTTCAAATCTTAATTTATACATTTTTGTTCCAATGTAAAATTAAGGTATTTTTCAAAAAGATGAATAAAACATTTTAATCTAAGTATGTTAGAAATACAAGGGGGAAGGTAGATAGTGCAAATAATGAGATAAACATACAAAATTAATTGCTTATAAGGCACAAAATACTTATTGAAATGCTCAAAGATGAGCAACAAACCAAACTGGGTTGGGGGTCTCAGACAATTCGCTTATATGATTGCAAAGACAGACAGAAACTCCCGGATTGGAGAGGGCTCCCCTGAGGGCTCCCAGACTGGACAGGGTGCAGGTCGGGCTGAGGGACCCCCACACCCCCCAGTGCACAAATGTTGTGCACTGGGCCTCTAGTTCTCATATAAAATAAAGTAGGAGAAAATATATGCCAAGATATGTTAAACTTGCAAGAGGTAAACCACAAACTTATTTCTGCATTTTACTGACTAGATACTAAGAATAAAAATAAATAAAAAATTAGTTGTGCAGGAGAAGATGAAATATTATAATTCTAGGCCTAAATTATAAAAACAAATTCTTTTCAGAGCCCCCTTATGAGAACAATGTGTAATGTAGTGAATAACATTGTTAACACATTAAGAATGAACAAAGGAGAGACTGGAATAAACTGGGATTTGGCAAGGGTACTAAGGAAAGCAGCCGCAGTAGAACAGAAGTATATTAGAATCACATCAGAAGATTATGAAACTGCCCTTGCCAAGGGCACATATTAGACCAAGTGAGCATCTCTAGGGATGAGGTTGAAGTACTTTTTCTATGGCTCCCAGGTGATTCTAATGTGCAGTAATGATAATTCTGAGAACACTCTATAAGCCAAGCCAGCAAGTTTGGTCTTGATTTACTATATAGAAAGTTCTCTAGCAAGAAAATATACACCAATTTTCTTAATCTTTTATTAAATAAGAGTTTCAATACTTTAAAAATCTTTAAAAAAAAAAAAAAGGAAATGAAAAGTGTATACCTGTAAATGGATCAACTCCAGATATGGTAGCTCCTATACTTGCAGACCCTGGCACATAACGGCCTGCACCTAAAATGCAATAATACACCAAGTAAGCAAAAGTAACTGCAAATTATAAAGTTCAAACTGCCCCCCTTTATATACAATAACTTATTTTCACTTTTGGTCATACTTTGAAATGGCATCTTAGGAAAATAATCCTCAAGTTATAAAAGAAACAGTAGAGGTCTCATACATTATTAGAGGCCCAGTGCACGAATTCGTGCACCAGTGGGATCCCTCAGCCTGGCCTGCGGGATCGGGCTGAAACCAGTTCTCCGCCATCCCCCGAGGGGTCCCGGATTGTGAGAGGGCGCAGGCCAGGCCGAGGGACCCCATTGGTGCACAATCAGAGCCAGGGAGGGACACGGGAAGTTGGCCATCCGAGGAGGGACCGCAGGAGGGCTCCAGGGCATGTCAGACCCATCTCACTCAGTCCCAATCGCCCGACCCCAGCAGCAAGCTAACCTACCAGTCAGAGCATCTGCCCCCTGATGGTCAGTGCATGTCATAGTGACTGGTCAATCGGTTGACAGTCTGCCCCCTGGTGGTCAGTGCATGTCATAACAAGCGGTTGAGTGGCCTTAGCATATCATTAGTATATTACCCTTTGATTGGTTGAAAGGATGACTAGTCGACTGGACACTTAGCATATTAGGCTTTTATTATCTATCTAATAAAAGGGTAATATGCTAATTAGACCGAGAGACCTTCTGGACAAAGCCATGGCGGCAGGGCCGAGGCAGAGGTGGTTAGGGGTGATCGGGTTAGGGGTCCTCTGGCAGTTGGGGGTGATCAGGCCGGTGGGGGAGCAGTTGGGGACAAGCAGGCTGGCAGGGGGGCCAG